TCTTTAGGCTACTTGGGGGAGTGAGCCCGCAGAGGAAAGATCCTCTATGTTACCACCACCCTCTCTCTCTGCAACTCTTGCAAACTAAAGTAAGTAAAATGAATCTTAAAAACAAAAACAATAACCCTAGTTGTAGGCAACTCTCTAGGTTGCCTTATACCTAAGCAAGAACACATTGCTGGGAGAAAAGCAGCTAATACTTGACAGGCATCCTGGGCACAGTTGACGCCAAATCTGTGTTAACTATACAAGCGTGTTAGCATAGTTGCCTATTTTTTTTTTTAAGATATATGGGGGTGACTGCATGCCAGCAGCCAGGGTCTGGGGACCTGTGCACGAGCATACGTAAGCCCTAGGTAGGCAGGCAGGGCCCCAGGCTGGCAAAGCACACCAGTAGAGAACCAGTTTGGGGGATCTGTGTGCCAGTGGGCATGGGGGGCTCTGGACTGCTCAGGGAAACAGGTCTGGATATGTGTGGGAAGGGAGAACAGGACAGGTGAGGAGTGACTTCTGGGCACTTCCACCGATTGGGTTATTGCACCTGTAAGTAAACAATGGGGCTGAGGCTGGATAATTTAAAGGAGGAGAACCAGAGGACACTCTGAGGCCAAACCAATACACCCACCCACATGGGAGACCTGAACTGGGCTAGTTAGCATCAACCACTGCCTACTAGCACACACAAAAACTATAGCAGGGGCAGGGGGCGCCTGCCTGGTAGGGCTCGATCACAGTACCCACCAGTGAATGTCAGGGTAGAGTGGGCCATGTTAGGCTGAGACATGACACTAAGCAGCTCCCAAGCGAACTGGGTCTGAGAGCAGACTCTAGGGGGGATTGTGGGCTCACCCCTGTGGGATTGCCATACCGGGGATGACATTAGGCAGCCATCCCCTATTCCCGGGTACTGATGTGGCTGAGCTACTAGCAAGGGTTCTCTCACCTTCTCTCCCTACTCTCCCCAGATACAGGAAGGAAAAAGGAGATTGGATGGATGCAGCTGTCTCATCCACTTTCCCCCATTCCTCAACCCTCCCCACCCTAATTGCACATGGGCATGCATCCCTCTCAACTATGCAAACATCATCAAAACAAAATGAATTTTACTTAAAAAAAAACCAAAACAATAAAAACTAAAGAAAAACTACTCTATCAGTGACACTATCCCTGGAGCAGTTCCTCTTTCCAAAGACTGTGTCAAGTTGCCCAGATGGCAGACAGAAGAGGGACCCGGAGCTCTGCAATCCTCCATCTGCAGAATGGGGGGCATCCAGCTCTACACAGTCACTAGAGGAGGAGGAGCAACCACATCCCAGTCAAGCAGAGATTCCCAGCCTCTGAGAGGGCTTTGAGCCAAGGACCAAGCACGGACAGTGTGAAGCCCAAGTGGCAGCCCTCTGGCCTGGCAGCAGGAGGCCAGTCTCCCCACACTCACCTTCCTCTTTTTGGCCAACTTGGAGGAGGAGTCTGAGCTTCTCTTTTCGGAATCCTGCTTCCTCCCAGAGGACAGCTGTTTGTCCTTGGGTTTTTTCTGGCAGCTGCTTTTGCCTGGTGGGTGGGGTATACGAGTGAGGAGGTCGAGGGTGATCTTTACCACTAAGCTTTTGGGGGCAGGAGGGTCCCTGAGTGGCGAGAGCAACTTGGTGTCTTTCACAGGCACCGGGAGTCGGTCTCTGCGGCTGTCTTCCTGGACGAGCACGGCCTGCCGGCAGCCACTAGTCCTAACGCCACCACTGGAGGGTGCACCCTGGCTCTGTGCCAGGGGAACAAGCGCCAAGGGTTCAGAGCTCTGGGTCTCCACGGGCTCTTTTGTGGGCTCCCGGCTGGCGGGCACCTTGCAGGGGGCCCGTGGGGGGCTCTTGTGTTTCCTCCGTTCACTGGGTGCAGGCACTGTGGACTTGGGCTCTCGGCCCATCCCTGCCCCAGCACGAGGCCTTCCTTTCGTCTTCACCTTAGGCTTGTCTTTGGAAGTCTGGTCTCCTGAGCCCTTGGCCAGTCCTGGCTCACTTTCCACCTTCAGGCCAGTTTGTGAGGGGGCCTGGGTAGTGACCTTGGCAGGCTTTTTGGGCTGTTTGGTTCCCACGGTTTGCCGGGCTGGGGGTTCCTGGGGAGCAGGCGACTTCTGGCAGCTTCTCTTTCCAGGGTGGGGGACTTCGGGAGGGATTCGGGGGGATTTGCTGGAGTTCTTGGGGGTAGGCTCTTTGGGGTCAGCATGCTCCTGCCCTGTGGTGTCACTGTCATTGCTGCCCTTGCCTTCCTGTCGCCGCTGAGCAGGCTCCGAGCTCCCCAGGCCTTCGGGGAGCACCGCTGGCTGGCTGACTTTGGTTAGCCAGTTGTCCAGCTGCCATTTGTTGGTTGTTGGAGGCTCTGGCTAAAAAAACGAAAATGGAAACATTAACTCAACAATAATGAGAAATTATTTTTTTTAGTGATTCAGTTATACAGAATTGTCTTAAATAGAAAATAATTGTTTCAAACCCAGTAATTCCGCTTCCAGGGCCAGCTTTGTGGCCAGCTTGTAAGCTACTGCCTGAAACAAGGACAGGGATATCCCTTTCAGCACCGATTAAAGTCCTGGCTGCTCCTCAATTAATTCAACTCTGCTAATGCACCAGGGAAACCAGAACATCACCCAAGTACTTGAGCCCATGCCACCCACAAGGAAGACTGGAATGGGGTTCCTGGCCTTCCGGATGGTCTAGCCTCCATCTCTTGCCCAAATGGCAAGTGAACCAGAGGGTGTGAGCACATGCTCTCTATTTTGTAACAATCCACTCTGAATACACTCCTCCTTGTTATGTATATATACTGACTTTCAAATTTTACCACTTAATTAAAAAAGAGAGAGAGAGGTGTCAAGTGAGGACACATTAATCAACCACATTTCGAATCTTTGAAAGTCAGACATTAAGTGTCTTGTTGTGGACAACCTGGCCTGAAACCACTTGTGTTTCTATGACACAAAGAGCCCTTCCAGAACAGCTGATGACCACAATGCGATTACACTGACTACCTGTACAAAGAGTTCCACAAGTAAACAGAAGTTCCTAACTTCTCCTCTTAACTGTTATTTAAGATCCACTGTTGAGTCTTGCTCACAGTGGCATACAAGACATCTGAGCATCCCTGTGGGTATACTGCTATCTCCATGAATGTGATCTCAGAGAAAAATATCAGTGTCCAATACTGTAAATAATAACTATGCTTTTAAGTGCTACATATCACTGATTGCTTACTGCTTAAGTTCCATTCTGACAGGTGGTTTATATGAATGACTAAACATATCTACACTGCACTAGGAAGTTTACTGAAAGAAACTCCATATGGGACATAACTGATTACAGGCAAAGAAATCACTTAAGTAGTTATGGACTTTCAAGGGGAGAATGGCTAAGAAGTTTTCCAAGTAATATATCCCAGCAATTCTTATGAGCACATGCAATACTAACAATGTAAAATAAGTGACTAGGATATAAAGGCTTTTTTTGGTCAGAAAAACAATGGGTAATAAAATGATAAAATAGGTTGTATGGGCATAGTGTGACGGTCACACAATGCGGTTAGGAAGAACCTTAAGAAACTAGGTAGAAACATAACTTTGGACAAAAAGGTAGCTACAGGATTCCTTTATCTTATGACAATGTATCCATGCTAGCTTCCTAAATGTTCCCAACTATACATCCAAGCTCTTACACACCTTCAGAGCAGAAGAGAGGGAAGAAAACCACTATTATATGCTGGGCATTTTGTCATATGTGCTCTGAAATCTGTATTCAATACTCCAAACAGGATAAGGGCAGAGAAAAGATGAGCAAATAATACATACTTGCCAAATAGGATTTCCTGCCAAGACACAAAACTGTGGTGTACTAGTGATATGATGATGGAACAAGGCAATAAGATGGATCACCAGCCAACAGTGTTAGGGACTCAATCTCACAGTCTTTCTACAAGAAAGGTTAGGCTGCACCCAATCTCTATAATGTTCTTTAAAAATGTATTTCTGGGTGAACCAAAATGGGAAGTCACTCCTGGTATCAGTAACCCACACAAGCAGGGCACTATTGAGAGATACATTTAGTAATCCCTAAAGAAATGTCCTGGTTACAGAAATAAAAGATTGACTTCTGTGGTCCTAATAATGTCCAGAACAGAGGTCCATGGCCCAATTTCAGGATAAAGCTGAGATAGTGAGCTCAATGAGGCAGAAAAGGCATGGCAATATTTTTGTGAATCCAACTAAGGTTGTAAAATGGTCAAGATTCCTTGAAGGTCAGACACAATTCAGGTAGTACTTGTAAAACCAGTTAAATAGATTTTGTACACTTGGGTTAAACAGATTTTTAAAATAGATTTATTTATTTTTATTAGTAAGACAGATTTACAGAGAGGAGGAGAAACAGGGAGAAAGATCTTCAGTCTGCTGGTTCACTCCCTAAGTGGTCACAATGGCCGGAGCTGAGCTGACCCGAAGCCAGGAGCCAGGAACCTCTTCCAGGTCTCCAGCATGAGTACAATGTCCCAAGATCGTGCGCCAACCTCCATTGTTTTCTCAGGCCACAAGCAGGGGCTGGATGGGAAGTGGGTTAGCCGGGACATGAACCAGCATATATATGGTATCCCAGTATATGCAACGCAAGGATTTAGCCACCAAACCATCACATCGATCCTAGTGTTCATTAGATTTTAAAATTATTTTAAGTAGATATGTACCATATTAAATTTAGGCACGGGATGTTTCTGACTTTTTTCATTCCCCCTATACTGCCATAGGGGCAGCTTGATGTAATTCAAGTGCTTAGGACAACTGTATCTCATATTTAAAAAAAAATTTTTTTTGGAATAGTCAGATATACATAATGGTATTTGAAGGCTGGACTCAAATGAACACTAAGTTCATTTATGCTTCATGTTGCACATGAACCTCACAAACAAAATGAAAAGTAACTTTATAAAATGATTATACAGTGCCTATATATATATTTATATTTTTTTAATAGGGAGAGCGCACCATTTGTAAATGAACCGCAATACCAGGTTGATGCAGAGTGGAAATAACAAGCTGTTACTCCAACTCAAAGCTCCAAAAGCGCATTTAATATATTATCCTTGGAATAGAGGACGTATCAGATATTAAACTGATAAGAACAGATACTATTATCATCTCAGCCAAAAGGCCAGAGTGTGACAATGCCTTTGTTTTGAGTATTATCTATCACAGCAGGCGTCATGTAGGTGTTCAAAAAAGTTTGACATATGAACATTTCAGGCTTTGGGATGAGGGCTTCTCAAGCATTATTAAAAATTTAAAGTAGAAAAAAATTCATAAGTACTTTAATACATGTTTATCCTTATGTCCCTCTATTTCTCCAGTTCTATAAAACCAGCAGAAGTTAGTGTATTTTAGAATGAAGTATGGCCATGAATAAGAACTTGTGAGTTATAGGCATCATACAGCTGTGTTTTTTTTTTTTTTTAAAAAGCTTTATGGTTAGTTGTAGGGAGTGATTGTAAAAAACTTGTTAAAAAGATTTATTTATTATTTTAATTGCAAGGCAGATATACACAGTGGAAGAGAGACATTCCGTCCGATGATTTACCCCCTACTGGCTGCAACGGACGGAGCTGAGCCAATCCAAAGCCAGGAACAAGGAACTTCTTCCGGGCCTCCTCCACGGATGCAGGGTCCCAAGGCTTGGGGCTATCCTCCATCGCTTTCCCAGGCCACAAATAGGGAGCTGGATGGGAAGCAGGGTCGTCAGCATTAGAACTGGCACCTATAGGGCATCCCAGCATATGGGCACGTGCAAGGAGAGGACCTTAGCCATTAGGCTACCATGCCAGGCACCCACCCCCCTTTTTTTTAAAGAAAGCAGGGGCTGGTGATGGGACTCCGTGGGCAAAGCCATTGTTCTTAACTCTGACAGCACACACAACTGTCAGCTGGAGTCCTGGGTCTTTGCCACCATGTAGGAGACGCAGGTGGAGTTCCAGGTTCCCAGGTTTGGCCTGGGTGTTTAGGAAGTAACCCAGTAGAGTGAAATACTTTCTTACTCTATAACTTTGCCCTTCAACGAAATAACTCTGGGAGACCCTGAAGAAGCTCCTGGCTCTCAGCTTCAGATCACCTCAGTTCTGGTAATGCAGCCATTTGGGAAGTAAACCAGTAGATGGAAGACATTCTCTATCCTTCTCTCTCTCTGCAAATCTGCCTTTCAAATAAACATTTTTTAAATCTTATTTATTTATTTATTTATTTATTTATTATTAATGTAGGGATGACCAGTAGTTGGGAAGAGTGTAGCTAGAGAACAATAACAACATAATACAACTGCCAGATGTAAATGGTTAAAAGTTTCAATTTAAGGGTCTGGCATTGTGGAGCAAGTTGAGTTGCAAGCCTGTAGCACTAGTGTCCCATACGGGCACCAGCTCAAGTCCTGGCTGTTCCATGATGCTGGAAAAGCGGCAGAAGATGCCTAAATCCCTAGTTCTTACATCCTTCTAGGAGAACCAGAAGAAACTCCTGGTTCTTGGCTTTAGCCTGGTTCAGTCCCAGTCCTTACAAACATGTGGAGAGTGGACTGGTAAATGGAAAATCTCTTGCTCTGTCCATCCTCTTTCTAACTCTGCGTTTTAAATAGATAAATGAATAAATAAATTAATTAATTTTAAGTGGTACTGCTACTTCTTTAATGTCAAAATAAAGTTATCAATTGTGTACAGTTGGTGGGAGATAAATAAAATAACTTACAAAAGAGTTCTATGAACAGTTATGCAATCAATATAAGCCAGTTTGGTATCAAAGGATTAGGCAATAAAAAGATTAGAAAACTAAGCAGATTTTTAAATAACCAAGAATAGAATAATGCTTTTCAAGTTATACTTTAGCAGCAAAAAGCTGTGTATCCTACATATTCTGAAAATCTGAAACTTACACTTTTATTCATATCATAAAATAAACAATGAAGTGGAATTCATGGCAACTGGTTTCTTATTGACTAATGTCAAATGAAAAGTAGAGGTCTTGGTAACAGGGAACATCACACTATTTGTGCACATAGCAAACTGCCCCCTCACCTTCCCAAGGCATGGTAAAATGTTTTCATTTGCAGGTAGTACCATGAAGCACGGAGCCCAGGGAACAGAGTGGTTTCTAAAATGCAGAAGGCACTTTGCATTTAACATGCAGCCATTCTGATTCATTCCAAAAACTATCAGGCACTTATATGTGCCAAATATAGAGATACATCTAACGAGAAATGACACCCACTTGTTTTCTCAGTCTGTCGTGCATTCAAGGTCCTTATAACTCCCCACATGACTCTCCAGATACAGTCAGTTAAGGCTCTACTAGAACTGCCTTGTTTTCTCAGCAGCAGAGACAGACTTTTCTCTGAGGCTTTTAATATCAGAAAGCCTCAAATTCCTGGCATTCCAAAACATGCAGGATAATGTCCTTTATGCAACCTGATCTCGCTTACAAAAAAAAGAATGCCTTTTCTTGTGGCCAGTATATCAGGCTAATTCTCTGCGCATGGTGCCAGTATGCCATATAGGCGCTGGTTGAAGTCCTGGCTGCTCCATTTCTGATCCAGTTCCGTGTTGATGTCCTGGGAAAGCAGTGGAAGATGGCCCAAGCCCTTGAGCCTCTGCATCCATGCAGGAGACCCTGAAGAAGCTCCTGGAGCCTGGCTTTAGCCTGGCCCAGCCTTGGGATCTCTGAGCATCTGGGAGTGAACCAGCAGATGGTAGACACTTTCTCCTCACTATCCCCCACCCCAACTCTGACTTAGAAGTAAAATAGCTAAATCTTAAAAAAAAAAAAAAAAAAGGAAAAAGAAAAAGAAAGAAAACCCTTTCCTGTTTAGTCATTTTCTTACCCTGTATAATTTTTACACTGATATCACAAATTTTGAGTCTATTTGGTAACCCTGCTAGTAATTACTAACAATGCCTTGTTCTTGATAATTCATTAAATAGTGTTAAATTCTGTAGATAAAATTTAGGGCATGAGATGTTCAGTCTCAAGGGTTTGTTCCTATTCACAGAATGGAAACACAGGTATCCCTGTTCCATATAGGGCAAGAAGATTCAGAGCCCTGGCAAAAAATCACTTTGCCTTCGATATAAAGCATGGCTTTTACTGACTCAAAAATAGAACTCTGATGACTGATTTTGAGTTTGTGTTCCTGACCTTTGCTAAATCAGGTGTGCTTCCCTTTTACTTTAATTCATGCACTCCTGAGTATCAACCCCCCCATCTCATTAATATTCAAACACCAGACTGCTGAACACAGGTTTTTTTTTTCTCAAAAGATAGGAAGAAAAAATGATGTGCAGACAGTCTCAAGATGCTGCTCTTCCAAAGGGAGTAGAATCTATCATTTCAAATGGTGGAGTTACCTCTCCTGAACCTCCACGGCCAAGGCCAAGGATCTGGTAAGTAGAGACATGTGCCTCTGCCCAACAAAGGGGCAGGGAGTCCTGCTGCATGGTCAGACTCAGGTCAGGATGCTGTGGATCCTGGCCCACAGCAGAGACACTAGCCCCGAAGACAGAATGCTGCCGCCCTTGGACAGCCTTCCCAAGGCAGACACAGTACCTCTGGAGCCCGGGTTTCTAGGGGCTCGTTATCATCACTGTCACTTGAACTGCTCTCGCTCTCCGAGTCTGAGGAGCTGTCTGAGTCACTGGTGCTCTCTGACTCGGCACTGCTGGAATGTGCTGATGCCACTGGTTGTGGAAGCGACTGGGGTGCACTGCAAAGCAACCAAGAGATCAAATCAGACACTCTGCAAAGTGGACCTCTGCCCTTTTTAGTCCCTGCCTATTTTCTTGCTATTTGGAAGAGCAGGGCAAGTATTATCTAACATAAATTGTATCAGCCGCATGAGAGAGGCCTACAGTATTTTACGAAAACATGTATAACATACAACACTTTTTAAAACGGGTAACTGCATAAGAGAAGCTGTGCAATCTCACTGTGAAGGACAATCCAAGTTCTGTGCAAAGTATAAATGTAAGTAGATGCTGAGTGCTTTATGTTCTAGGCTGGTAAAACGTGGGGGCGGGGGAACTGTTTTTCTAAATAGCTTCATTAGAACACATCTATTCTCACACGTACTGTGTCTGCTTTTATTAACTGTAAAGCAGAATAAGGAAGTTGCAACTTGGATGGATCAAAAGGTGCAAGATATTTACAACTTAGTGTTTTTATGTTTGTTGATCCTTGCTATTCATGACCTATAAAAATTGATTTATAAAAGGAAAACCATCAAAATAAAACCTCCTTAGAGCCTCTACATTAGATTTAGTTGTACAATATCCAAAGACCACTAACTATTAATAGTACTCCTTCTGTGAACTCCAAAGTGACTCATCCACATCTTTTGGGCAGAATTACAAAATAGGTCATTCTTCATGAGTGGCTTAAGGATCGTCCTACAATACCAACCAAAATAGAGATAACCACTCCAAGCTTTAAGAATAGGGCAAGGGTCCAGCATAGTGGCCTAGTAGCTAAAGCCCTCATCTGGCATGTACCAGAATCTCAAATGGGTGCCAGTTCATGTTCTGATGGCCCCATTCCCATCAAGCTCCCTGCTGGGAGCCTGGGAAAGTAGCCAAGGATGGTCCAAAGCCTTGGGACCCTGCACCCACATGGGAAACCCAGAAGAGGCTCCTGGCTTTGGATCGGCTCAGCTATGGCTGTTGTAGCCACTAAAGAGAGTTAATCAGCAGATGAAAGATCTTTCTCTCTCTGTATATCTGACTTTCCAATAAAAATAAATAAATAAAATACACATTGTTAACACTTCTGGACATACATGGAATTTCAAAACATACATGATTAAAATCTTGCCCCAAACAGTATTAACTAAAGCAGTAAATCATTAACCATAGCACTGAAAGCACCCAAATCTACCAACAATATTGCCAAAATAAATTCAATAACACAATAGTGTAATATTAGAATAAAATTAAATAGTAATCAGAAGTTGAAGTAATTTTAAAACAAGCACACTAAAACCATTGCATAATTTCCTCAGGAAAAAAATGCCTGTTCAAGTTTGTGAGCTTGTCCCTGCTGTGACTGAGTCAAAGCCAGAGAGGATCCGCATGGGACATGTTTTCAATGCTACTCCTGCCTTGATTTACCTTGACCTTGTGTTTTCCTTTGTTTTTT